ACACACACACACACACACACACACACACACACACACACACACACACAGTCCCACCTCTCTTGGCCCCATTTATATCTAGATTTCTATCTCTACAGCTACTTGGTAAAAGAAGAGCAACCAGGCCAGGAAATCCAAGAACAATAGGCATATGAACACTTTCACAAGCAGCCCTTGAATTACAAGGAGGCCTTCAAAAAGAAAAGGGGCCACTTATCTGGAAAACTATTTTAGTCACAATTTTGAAAAATGTGGTCCTCTGATTTTTTGTTTGTAGTTTTGCCTGGGACCCCAGAAATCTTAATTTAATGCCCCAGAGTTTTTGTTTCCTTCAAAAAATTAACTTTTAAGAATATGCAAGTCTTACCGTAATTACAACATGACAAATATCCAATAATTTTTTAAATTATTTATTTATTTTTGGCTGCACTAGGTCTTTGCTGCTGCGTGTGAGCTTTCTCTAGTTGCAGCAAGCGGGGGCCATGCTTCGTTGCAGTGTGTGGGCTTCTCACTGCGGTGGCTTCTCTTGTTGTGGAGCACGGGCTCTAGGCTGCGGGCTCAGTAGTTGTGGCACACAGGCTTAGCTGCTCCGCAGTATGTGGGATCTTCCCAGACCAGGGCTCGAACCGATGTCCCCTGCATTGGCAGGCAGTTTCTTAACCACCGCGCCACCAGGGGAAGTTCCTATCCAGTACTTTTTTTTTTTTTTCTTCTTTTGGGCTGCGTTGGGTCTTCGTTGCTGCATGTAGGCCTTCTCTAGTTGCGGCGAGTGGGGGGCTACTCTTTTTTTTTTGGGGGGGGCTACTCTTCATTGTGGTGTGCAGGCTTCTCACTGAAGTGGCTTCTCTTGTGGTGGAGCACAGGTTCTAGGCGCATGGGCTTCAGTAGTTGCGGTGCGTGGGCTCTAGAGTGCAGACTCAGTAGTTGTGGCGCACGGGCTTAGTTGCTCTGCGGCAAGTGGGATCTTCCCGGACCAGGTTGCGAAACCGTGTCCCCTACACTGGCAGGCAGATTCTTAACCACTGCACCACCAGGGAAGTCCCCTCCAAAACTTTTTACAATAGTACCTTTATCCCAGTTATTTAGGTGCTTACAAGGTACGAGTCAACTATGGATTTTTTTGTTTGTTTGTTTTTTTAAAAAATTATTTATTTATTTAGGCTGCGTTGGGTCTTCATTGCAGTGTGTGGGTTTTCTCTAGTTGCGGTGAGCGGGGGCTACTCTTCATTGCAGTGTGCGGGCTTTTCATTGAGGTGGCTTCTCCTGTTGTGTAGCACAGGTTCTATGCACTTGGGCTTCAGTAGTTGAGGCACACGGGCTCAGTACTCGAGGCCCCCAGGCTTAGTTGCTCCGCGGCATGTGGGATCTTCCCGGAAAGTCCCCTCCAATACTTTTTACAATAGTGCCTTTATCCCAGTTATTTGGGTGCTTACAAGGAACCAGTTAACTATGCACTTTTTGCTTTTTTAATCTTCATAATAACAGTGAAATAGTTTTTATCATCCCTATTCTACCGATGAAAACTCTGTGGAATGCAGAAGCCAATCTGTCTCAAGTCTCATCCAATAAGAGGTGGAGCTGAGATCCTAACACAGGCAGTTGCATCCAGAATCTATGTTCTTTAACATGAAACTATGTTGCCTCTTGTCTAAATGCATGCATTAAAGAAATGATAAAATTTAAGTAGACAGAAAAGAAAAATATTTTTATGTACCAAATTTCATCCCCAAATACCCAAACTATTTCTTTCTAGCTATTTAATATACTTTCTATACAACGCAAGTTACAATGTGTAACACTTTATCTCTTTTCTGCTTTTTTCAAACATTGTATTTTCCTATTTCCCACAATATTTTTAAGGATCAATACTCTTTTGAATGCATTTTCCAGAACCAATATATTTTCTCCTCTACCGTTGAGTCTATATGTAATTTCTATTTTTCAGAAATAACACTGTTGCAAATGTACTTGCACAGAGAACTTTTTTTAACTGTTGGTCTTATTTTTTTAGTACAAATGAATGAACCTAGAATTACTGGGTCAAAGGGTATTAATGATTAAATCTCTTATTTCTTAATACATACTGGCAGACTGGACTATACAAATCTATACTTCTATCTGTAGCATATATAAGCACTCATTTCAATGCAGTTCACCAACATTTATTTTTCTTTTGTAAAGATCTTTGTTAATTAAAAAGGTGAAAAATGGGAACTTATTTTAATTTTTATTTCCTCTGTTCCTTTCTGTCCATTGGGATCTAGGTTTTTCCTTACTGATTTATATATGTTCTTCATATCTGTTAAACATATTGGCCCATTATCATACTTGCAGCCTATTTCTAGTATCTGTACTTTGACAACATTTAATCCACTTGTGATTTCATTTGGGTATGATGTTGAGGGGTTGAACAATCTCACATCAACAAATAAGATAATATTCAGTTCAGGAATATAAAAAAATCCCCAACCTCCTCTTATTTTATTTTATAAAATAGGTCTTATTTTAAAGAACTATTGGAGGGGGACTTACCTGATGGCGCAGTGGTTAAGACTGCACACCCAACGCAGGGGGCCCGGGTTCGCTCCCTGGTCTAGGAACTAGATCCCACATGCATGCCACCACTAAGAGTTCGAATACCACAACTAAGGACCCTGTGACTTCCCTGGTGGTGCAGTGGTTAAGAATCCGCCTGCCAATGCAGGGGACACGGGTTCGATCTCTGGTCCGGGAAGATCCCACGTGCTGTGGAGCAACTAAGCTCGTGCGCCACAACTACTGAGCCTGCACTCTACAGCACGCAAGCCACAACTACTGAAGCCCGCGCACCTAACGCCTGTGATCCACAACAAGAGAAGCCACCACAATGAGAGGCCCGTGCACCGCAACGAAGAGTAGCCCCTGCTCGCCACAACTAGAGAAAGCCCACATGCAGCAACAAAGACCCAACGCAGCCAAATAAGTAAGTACTTAAGTAAGTAAAGAAAGAAAGAAACAACTACTGGATCTTCCATCACTAAGTTGGTAACTAACTTTCTCTACACATTTTCACCCTCCCCCCCACACAATATACCAAAGATTAAGATGCTCAAATAAAAATTTATATTAAATTGATTATCTTAGAGGGTGATTCTGTTCCTGACAGAAACCTAAAGATAAGAGCTGGTAAAACCTTAAAGAATGTGAATATGAATTCACCTATACTTTGCTCTTCAAGAAACTACTATCTATGCTTATAGTATACAAGCATTCCTCTACAATGGCTGTTTTTTTTATTATTCTGGAACAATATCTATCCTTTCCATTCATGGATCTCAAGGTTGGAAGAGACATTGTTTGTCTTCTACTTTTACTATGCTCTAAAAAAACGTTCATACCAAGTAGTCATATTCCAACCTATGCTTGAATAGCAAGAGCAATGGACAGAGAGCAGTCACGACACCAAGGAATACCTATGCTTGAAAATCCAGCTCTCTCCAGTGGGTCTAAAGGTCTTTTTAAGAATAAGGGGCGGGGGGGGGGGTGCTTCCCTGGTGGCGCAGTGGTTGGGAGTCTGCCTGCCAATGCATGGGATGCGGGTTCACGCCCTGGTCTGGGAAGATCCCACATGCTGCGGAGCAACTGGGCCCGCTCGCCACAACTACTGAGCCCGCACGTCTGAAGCCTGTGCTCCACACAAGAGAGGCCGTGATAGTGAGAGGCCTGCGCACCGCGATGAAGAGTGGCCCCCGCTCACCACAACTAGAGAAAGCCCTCGCACAGAAACAAAGACGCAACACAGCCATAAATAAATAAATAAATAACTTAAAAAGAAAAAAAAGAATAAGGGGGATTGCTACCTCCTCTTAAAAAAGGAATCCGAGCAATCTTTCCAAGAATAAGTAATCTTAAAAAGACAAAAAACACAGTAGGATTTTTATACTGATATCAAATACTCATTCTATTACCTTTTGAAATAGTTAGTGCTGGAGACCACTGTGACCGTAGAATATCAAGACAAATGCTGCCATTACTGTTAATATTTGGATGATAAATTCTTGTTGTAAATGCAACCTATCAAAAAAGGAAAATTTTTTGTAAACTGTTTCAATAGTATTGTCGAAAGTAGATACAAAACAATTGTCATATCCCAATTACCTTAGGTGGTTTGAAGGGGTAATCTGTTGGGAAATGAATTGTCAAGAAAAATACTCCACCCTGATAGGGACTGTCATTCTGTTGATAACAAGAAAAGTTGGATTAAAATGAGTGAATTACATAAACTATTTATTCTGAAATTAATCTGAATACTTACTGGCCCCATTATTGTAGCTTGCCAATGGAACACTGAAAAAGAACAACAAAAAATCACCATGAAGCAATATCCACAGTATACCTACACCATAATAACATATCATTCCCCATGTAATCTCAGTTCATTTATTAGCAATATGATGAGTCCTGAGCAGGATGAGGAATCTAAATTAAGTTGGAGTCTGAACAGAGAAAACAAAAATGACTAGCATGGTATAGAACACTGATAAGGTGCTCAACAAAGAAGTATTTGGGCTAAAACATCTTGAAAATTCATGTCAGGGAAACAAAATTCTTGACAAGGTCCAAAATTTCACTTTTAAACAGGCATTTCCTTACCTCAAAGGGGAAAAAAGAACCACAAGATTCAATTCTTTCATGTGTTATATCATTTCCCCAACACAAATATATATAATATACTCCTTTTATAATACTGGCATAGAGCAGAACAGTAAACTTAAAGTAGACAATACTCAAATTAGGAAATGCTGGCTTTTTTCCAGTGAGAAAAAAATTTCCAAGAGTTCTCACCTGTAGGTGTTTAGAATTGCTGGTACCTCAGTAAATAAAGAAAACATCAGCTGAAAGCCCCAAGCTTGATTACAAACTCGGGATAATCCCAATAAATTATATACTTGTTTAATAAGGGAATTTTCTCTTCAAACTGCAAAAAATGGTGCTTGTTCCATTTCCAAGGTAATGCCACTAAGGACAACACAAAGATCAAAAAGCCAGTTTTCACTTTCTAAGCAAGCTACTTAGCATTTAACATTCACACTAGGATTTAAGCAAACTAAGGGAAGCTATCACTGGGATTATACATGAGCAACCCAAACCACCTAACCCTCGACACAAAGAGGAAATGTGAAGACTAAAAAACCGCACGAAAATCCACTGGGATATCAGGCCAAATCCTTAAATTCCTTCTGACCACCTGCATGAGAACTGACCCTATGGTTGGCCTGCCCCTCACTGGTGCCTGAATCTACAAAGAGCAGCCTGTTTATTAGGAATTAAAAATAAAGGATAGGTACTGCTGAGGCTCTCCTTTTTACGTTACCCATCATTAGTACTGAGAAAAATTCCTCATAACTTCTGCCAACCAATTTTTTATGGATTAAGCAGCTAAGGAGAAAGTCACTTTGAGTCACTAAGATTAGTCCCAGTATCTTTAACAAAGGTTCTATTAAAAGAGCCCTAAGGTCCTATTTAAAGAAACAAGTCTCATTCTGTTTTTAATCATAAATATATTTACAATTCGAGTAAACAAAACACACTGATAATTAGAGTAAACAATCCCAATGACAAAGCTGAAAACACTATTAAAAATGACCAAGCTACAGGTCAAGGGAATTGTTTTAAAGCAATCTTATTCTTCCATTTAATCCTTCTATATTTTTAAAATTTGTGGCTGTAAATGGGAAGATATATTTATACCTGCACTCTTGTTAAAGGTTGTAAGAATCAGATAAGGAATAAAAAGAGAGAACTAAAGCACTTAGATGATAAAATATACAAATATCGAGACATGCTAAAAAATTTAGTTAAAAATTTTTAAAACTATCTAAGTCCTAACTTTTTCTTCTGAGTCTTTTCAAGATCAATCTTTCTCTTGCTAAAAATACTGCCAGACTTAAGAAGTTATTGGAAAAATTTAAACCTGAACAAATTCTTGGCTGAAGGTAAAATATTTATTTTTGGTGATTTCCTATTCTTCCTCTACAGAAAACAAAGACCATTTTATGCTTTATGATTAAAATCGACTAAAAATTAGACAACATAGAAACCCCAAAGGCTTGGAGCAGAAATTCTGACAAGACAAGCTGGCAACTAGAACATTTACAATTACATAAAGGATACCCTTCCTAGAAGAAGATGTGAAAAGATCAATATTTTCAAGTAATAATGCAATCTCTTTCATATCTGGCACTCTGGAAAATTGAAAATATTCTAGTATATTTAAGCAAGAATCTTATATTACTGAGAACTCTTATAAGCAACATCAACAGGCTATTTCATATGTAATTCATATCCATTTAGTTAGTAAATCATGTTTAATATTCCCCAGTAGAACTAAACTTATATAAACCATTAGTTCTAAATAAAAACCCATTAACACTCAAATGCTAACCTTTATTAACTTGTTTCCGTCTTTATAAATAAAGGGTCAAATACTGTCACCAGAAAAATGAGCAAAAGCACATACACAGGGCTGTCTTTAAGAGTGAGAGGGGAGAGGAATAAGGAAATTGCTAATGTAGCAACTGAGATCAACAATATTTATGTCTCTTGTTAAAATGATCTAGAATCTACAATACCAACAGAAGGCAGAGAAGAACAAAATAAAAACACATTAATTTCGGGCTTCCCTGGTGGCGCAGTGGATGGGAGTCCGCCTGCCGATGCGGGGTACACGGGTTCCCACCCTGGTCCAGGAAGATCCCACGAGCCGCGGAGCGGCTGGGCCCGTGAGCCATGGCTGCTGGGCCTGCGTGTCCGGAGCCTGTGCTCCGCAGCGGGAGGGGCCACGGCAGTGGGAGGCCCGCGTACCGCAAAAAAACAAAACAAAAAAACAACAACAAAAAAACACATTAATTTAATTAACAAAAGCATTTCAAGACCTACCATTTAAATCTTAATTGAGTATTCTGCCACGCTGGTTAAATATAAGAATACCTACTGGAATCAATGACTTACGTCTCCCTCTGGAGCACATTTGTTTCCATGTCTTGGCTATTGTAAACAGTGCTATGAACACTGGGGTGCATATTATCTTTTCCAAGTTAGTTCTCTCCAGATAAATGCCCAGGAGTGGGATTGCTGGATCATATGGTAACTCTACTTTTAGTTTTTTAAGGAACCTCCATATTGTTCTCCATAGTGGCTGCACCAATTACATTCCCACCAACAGTGTAGGAGGGTTCCCTTTTCTCTACACCTCCAGCGTTTACTGTTTGTAGATTTTTTGACAATGGCCATTCTGACTAGTGTGAGGTGATACTGCATTGTAGTTCTGATCTGCTTTTCTCTAATAACTAGCAATATTGAGCATCTTTCCATGTGCCTATTGGCCACCTGTATGTCTTCTTTGGAGAAATGTCTATTTAAGGTCTTCTGCCCATTATTTGATTGGGTTGTTTGTTCTTTATCAAAAAGCTTTTATTAAGCTGTATGAGCTGTTTGTATATTTTGGAAATTAATTCCTTGTTGGTTGCATTGTTTGCAAACATTTTCTCCTATTCCACAGGTTCTTTTTTTGTTTACAGTTTCCTTCGCTGTGCAAAAGCTTTTAAGTTTAATTATGTCCTATTTGTTTATTTTTATTTCCATTACTCTAGGAGACGGAGCCAAAAAAATACTGCTGCAATTTATGTCAAAAAGTATTCTCCTTGTGTTTTCCTCTAGGAGTTTTAGAGTACCTGGTCTTACACTTAGGTGTTTATTTTCAGTTTATTTTTGTATATGGTGTGAGAAAATGTTCTGATTTCATTCTTTTACATGTAGCTGTCCAGTTTTCCCAGAACCACTTACTGAAGAGACTATCTTTTTCTCCATTGAATATTCTTGATTCTTTTGTTGTAGATTAATTGACCTTAAGTGCGTAGGTTTATTTCTGGGCTTTCTATCCTGTTCTACTGATATATATGCTTGTTTTTTGTTTTCCTGTTCCATTGATCTACATGCTTGATTTTTGCTTTCCTGTTCCACTGATCTATATTCTTGTTTTCTGCACCATACCCCTTTGATTACTGTAGCTTTGTAGTACATTCTGAAGTCAGGAAGCATGATTCCTCTACCTCCAGTCTTCTTTCTCAAGATTGTTTTGGCTATTCGAGGTCTTCTGTGTTTCCATACAAATTTTAAATTTTTTTGTTCTAGTTCTATGAAAAATGCCATTGGTAATTTGATAGGGATAGCACTGAATCTGTAGACTGCCTTGGGCAGTATGGTCATTTTAACAATATCTGTCTATGTCATCTTCAATTTCTTTCACCAGCAACTTATAGTTTTCAGAGTATAGGTCTTTTCAGCATAATGTTTTTAATGCTCATCCATGTTGTAGTATATATCATTTCATTCTTGTTAATCGTCAAATAATATTCCATTGTATGGATACACCACATTTTATTTACCCCTTCATCAGCTGGTGGGTATTTGGGTTGTTTTCACTTTTTGGCTATTATAAATAAAGCTTCTATGAACAATCATGTATGAGTTTTTGTACAGATATACGTTTCATTTCTCTTGGACACATACCTAGGAATGAACTCACTGGGTTATATCGTAACTCTATGTTTAACTTTTTGAGGAACTAACAGGCTGTCTTCCAAGCTGGCTATACCATTTTGCATTCTACCAGCAATGTATGAAGGTTCAAATTTCTCCACATCCTCATCAACATTTGTTATTATTTGACTTTTTGATTCTAGCCATCCTAGTGGGTGTAAAGTGACATCTCATTATGGTTCTGACATGCATTTCCCTGATGATTAATGATGCTGAACATCTTTCCATGTGTTTATTGGCCATTTGTATATCTTATTTGGAGAAATAGCTATTCAGATCCTCTGTTTATTTTAAAATTGGGTTATCTATCTTTATATTGCTGAGATACAGACTTTTAAAAAATATTTTGGATAAATATGCCTTATTAGATATATATGACCTACAAAATTTTTCTCCCATTCTGTGTGTCTTTTCACTTTCTTAATAGTATCATTTGTTGCACCTAATTTTTAAATTTTGATGAAGTCTAATTTATCTTTTTCTTTTATTGCTTATGCTTTGGGGGAGTTTAACTCTCCAGGGTAAGCATTTTTTCAATCTGACAAAGGAATGTAATAGTACTAACTATGGTAGAAGCAAAGGCAAATTACTTTAGCACACTACAGAACTTCAAAAATGAAATCTAATCCCCAGACTTCAAACGCTTTTAATTAAAAATCAGCCACTCTCAACTTCGAGGAATTTACCTGAAATAAAAACACTCTTTCAATTGAATGACCACACTGATGCAGATGGATTATATGATAACCGTGAAATGACAAAAGTAGAATCAGAAAACCTGAGAATGAGTCCACTTCCGGAACCTCCACAAGCCTCTCACCAGATTCTTCTCTAAAATAGTTTACAATTTCTATCCCAATGACCTAAAAGAATTGTGAGGCGTAAATGAGATAATGTGTGTTTAAGTACTTGTCCTGTCCTGTTTGGTATCAAATACTATAGTTACTCATACTGGACAGGTCTAAACATAACATAAATGGGATTTTTCATCACAAGTACTTAGTCTTATAATTTATAACATCTGTTTTATCTATAAGGCAGTCCTTGTACAAGGGCTTTGCTTTGGTTCTTAAGGATTTAGGAGACCAAAACAGCAATCTAAGAAAAACAAGGAAAAAATTAATTTACACACAAACTAATATAACCTCATTTATTTTTTGTCTTAATCTATATACTTCTCTTACACAAACATTTCCAAGTATACTCCAAGTATATTCCATTTTTTCCCTATTTGCTAAATGTTGCATTTTCTGTGTGTGAATTAGTTTTGTGTTACAAGGCACAGCCTCTTCAAATATCCTCCATTTTAAAAAGGATAAAAGATGGTATAAGGGGAAAAAGCTGTGTTGAGACAAAGTGGAACAAAAACAAAATTATTATCCAACATGTACGATAAGTACAATAGATTATTTTAGACAGGATTAAGGAGATAAACTGGACATTAAAAATAAATTGTAGCTGTCTTCACGAGTATGAGTCAATAGAAAGACAGACACAGACCCACATACATACATACACATATACATATACACACACATACCCCCCCCATCATCTTTAGTATTATCTTACTGAAAGAACAGTAGCTTGCTGTAAGTAAAAGCTCGAATATTTTGACTCAAGTAAATACCCAGAAGGGACAAAGGACAGATAAGAAGGAGCCAGGACAACTACACAGACAATGTCTGGCAGAAGAGGTTCAAAATGTAATAAACAGTACAGAAGATGATGGGATACACATAAAACTGCACCTTTCATGGGCAAGTAAAGGTAAATACTGCCTCTTCTCTACTGCATAATTATCTCTTCACACAAAATAACCTTAAGAGATGTATATTTATCAGTCCCAGAGTTCCCCAGAGGCAGATTTTTATGCTGTTTTATGTTTCACTCTATCATTCCTTTCACATACTTACTATCATCTCCAACGGGACCCGCTGAACACTGTGCTGGGGGGTCCCGCGCCAGGTCGTTCAATTCCTTAAGAAGGAGAGAAAAAAGAAATGTATTCAACATAAATATAACTTTTATCCATTAATAAAATTGTCACTGTTACCAACATTCTCTGTCCCACCAGTAAAGCTCTTTTAGGAGCACTCCTTCAAAGTCAGAGAAGGGTAGATTAATGAAATCTTTGGGATTTCATTATTTGGGATTCTTGAATGCAAATATATGTTTATACAAGTAATCATTTTTGCTTTGTTCGGAGTTTAGTAGGTAGTAAATATAAGGAAGGTAAACATGTATCGTACTAAAGAACCACAAAAACTGTTTTTAAGTAAAAACTTATTAGTTTTCAAAAAAGATCAACAGCTTTTTTTTTTTAAAGATTTAATTTTATTTTTTTGGCTGCAGTGGGTCTTCGTTGCTGTGCGTGGGCTTTCTCTGGTTGCAGCGAGTGGGGGCTACTCTTCATTGCAGTGCCTGGACTTCTCACTGTGGTGGCTTCTCTTGCTGCGGAGCACGGGCTCTAGGCATGCAGGCTTCAATAGTTGTGGCACGCAGTCTCTGGAGCGCAGGCTCAGTACTTGTGGCACACGGGCTTAGTTGCTCCATGGCATGTGGGATCTTCCCGGACCAGGGATGGAACCTGTAACCCCTGCATTGGCAGGCAGAGTCTTACCCACTGAGCCACCAGAGGAAGTCCCTATAGGCTGGTTTTTGTACCTCAAAACCATTAGGTTATACTTGAGACAAACTCTTTAAGTCATCTTTAAGTCATAAATGTTCCAAATTACACGGAACCATCTGACAAGATACTGGTATTTTTTCAGCTCATATCCACTACCAAGGTTTCAAAGGTAGTAGAAAAAACTTAAAAAAGGATATATTACAGGGCTTCCCTGGTGGCGCAGTGGTTGAGAGTCCGCCTGCTGATGCAGCGGAGACGGGTTCATGCCCCGGTCCAGGAAGATCCCACATGCCGTGCAGCGACTAGGCCGCGTGTCTGGAGCCTGTGCTCCGCAATGGGAGAGGCCACAACAGTGAGAGGCCCGCATACTACAAAAAACAAACAAACAAACAAAAAGGATGTATTACAAAGGCTGGCTGAACATAACCCATCATAAAGATTTGTAATCAGAGATGGAACTACTTGTAGTAATGCTCCACAACCAGACGCCAGCTTCTTAGCTACTTTAACATAAGAATCCACAAACTTGAGACTTGTTACTGGGTGGGGATGCCTGAAAAACCACAAAGCAGGAAATCATACTATATTCCCTTTCCCCTTGACTTGGTATTTGAGATAAAAACAAGCTCTGAGGGAGGACTAGTTTTAATTATATGTTAAAACCAGAACAGTAAAAACAGTAAAATCTATTAAAAGTACAATAAAAACTATCTCAAATCTTATTAATGAGTTACATAAGTAAACTTTTTAACTTGCAACACATAGATATTTCTGTAAGTCCCTTCTTCTGAGTTAACTTATTCAACCAGCCATTTGGTTACATCAATTATCCTGTTTTATCCTATCTGTAAGCTCGGAGGACAAAGCATAAAGTATAGAAATAAAGTTCTGTTTTGTTTTTTAAAGGGCTGGGGTTGAGATAAAGATTTAACAATATTTACTTTCTTTTGTATCTCAATTTGGTGATTTTGTATTTCTCTACAACAGAGATTCCTTGCCCATCTCAAGGAGGAAAACAAACAAAAAACAACCTACTGTACAGTTCCTATTCCCAAATGTTTGTAATAAAGTTCACTACAACTAAGAATGCTTGCTTGATTTGAAACAAAAAGTTAATCTACTTCTGACTAACATTTATCTAAGTGAATATAAGATCCATCAGATGGTGATCACTTTGTAATGTACAGAAATATCAAATCACTATGTTGTGCACCAGAAACTAACATAGTGTTGTGGGTCAACTATACTTCAAAAACAAACAAACTCATAGAAAAAGAGATCAGATTTGTTTATCAGAGGTGAGGGGAGGTGGTGAGTTAGTCAAAAGGTACAAATTTCCAGTTATAAGATAAATAAGTACTAGGTATGTAAATGTACATCATGATAAATATAATTAACACTGCTGTATTTTAAAAAATATTTTATTTATTTTATTTATATTTTTGGCTGCGTCGGGTCTTAGTTGCAGCGCTCGGGCTCTTTGTTGTGGAGCGTGGGCTTCTTTCTAGTTGTGGCATGCGGGTTTTTTCTCTCTAGTTGTGGCACGTGGGTTCCAGAACACGTGGGCTCAATAGTTGCGGCACACAGGCTTAGTTGTCCCTCGGCATGTGGGATCTTAGTTCCCCAACCAGGGATCGAACCAGCATCCCCTGCATTGGAAGACAGATTCTTTACCACTGGACCACCAGGGAAGTCCCAACACTGCTGTATGTTATACATGAAAGTTGTTAAGAGAATAAATCGTAGGAGTTCTCATTACAAGGAAAAAAATTTTTTTCTTTACCTTTTATTTTGTATCTGTGAGATGATGGATATTCACTAAACTTACCATGGTAATCATTTCATGATATATGTAAGTCAAATCATTATGCTGAACATCTTAAACTTACATAGTATGTCAATAAAACTGAAAGGAAAAAAATTTGAGCCATTAAAAAAAATCCATCAGTCCACTTCATGAGCCAGTATGATATAATTAATTCAAAAAACCTTAACCCAAACTTAAGCTAATACACAATTAACATACTCATTCAACACTTCCTTGGTTCAAGGCACTCATATGGATGAATCTCAAAGGCATAATGTTAAGTGAAATCAGTCAGACATAAAAAGACTATAATCTGTATGATTCCACTGATATGCATTCTAAAAAAGGTAAATTTATAGTGACAGAAAGCAGACCAATAGTTTCAGGGGCTAGAGAGAGCTGGAGGGGATTGAACTGCAAAGGGACATGAGGAAAATTTGGGGGGTTATGGAAATATTCTGTATCATGATTTTCATAGGGACCACAAAACTGTGTATATATTTATTAAAACTCAAACTGTACACTTAAAATTGTTGAATTTTATTGCATATAATATATATCAAAGTTGTTTACTAAAAAAGCATATATCCATTCATCTTTGTATATGCATAAAATATCTCTGAAGAATACATAAGAAACTAGTTCACAGTATTTGCCTTCAGAAGGAAAGTCTGTTTTGGGTGTGAGAATAGGAACTATATGTATTCCTTTTATACCTTTTAACAAGTGTATTTACTGCCTATTTGAAAAATAAATTACCAGGGGCTTCCCTGGTGGCGCAGTGGTCAAGAATCCACCTTCCAATGCAGGGGACACGGGTTCGAGCCCTGGTCCGAGAAGATCCCACATGCTGCGGAGCAACTAAGCCTGTGTGCCACAACTACTGAAGACTGCGCGCCTGGAGTCTGTGCTCCGCCACAAGACAAGGCACCGCAATGAGAAGCCCTCACACCGCAACAAAGAGTAGCCCCCACTCGCTGCAACCAGAGAAAGCCCGCGCACAGCAACGGAAGAACCAATGCAGCCAAAAAATTAAATTAATTAAATAAATCTATATTAAAAAAAATAACTTACCAGTTCTGACTATAAATTTGGATTAAAATAAAATAGCTATTAAAAGCTGTGACCATCTCATTTCAAAATAGTGAAAAGCCAGTTAGACTGAATAGACACAGAAGCTACAAAATTTGATGTGCCTGCATTAAGATGAAAACTGAAGGGAGTTCCCTGGTGGCCTAGTGATTAGGATTCCAGGCTTTCACTGCCATGGCCCAAGGAACTGAGATCCTGCAAGCCGAGTGGCGTGGCCAAAAACAAAACAAAGATGAATCTTGAAATTAAATAAAGGCACTGATCTAGACAGATCACTTGGGCAGAAAAAAATACCCTAACGCATCAGGCTATTTTTTGTTTAACAGTTGGCTTTATCATATGCCTTTATACCTATACATTAATTTCCTTGACTTCTTATTCCAAAAGAAATAGTATTCAGATTTGTCTTGTATATCATATAGCAAATTACGCATTACTGGGATTGAGAGTAGGGCTAAGACAAAACCCAAAACCAAGGAATTTTCCTGTTTATTGAAAAACTTTTCTATAGAAAGAGCAATAGAGAAATAAAGTATATATAATTAAATTTAGAAAAAAGAGGGAGGAGGGAACTTTGACAGGATCCTCAATTTCTAAAAAGATTTTATAATCTTCCTTTGAAATCTAAAAAAAATTAAAATAAAGGTCCTGTTTTGGGAATAAACTGGATATTACTAAATAGTTCTCAATTAAAATTTTTTTCTTTGATGGTGTACACTCCCCTTGTTTATAGGTATACAGCAGAACTGTTATTTTTTTTTTTTTGCGTTACGCGGGCCTCTCACTGTTGTGGCCTCTCCCGTTGCGGAGCACAGGCTCCGGACGCGCAGGCTCAGCGGCCATGGCTCACGGGCCCAGCCGCTCCGCGGCATGTGGGATCCTCCCAGACCGGGGCACGAACCCGTGTCCCCTGCATCGGCAGGCGGACTCCCAACCACTGCGCCACCAGGAAAGCCCCAGAACTGTTATTTTTAAAGATTAAGGGTTATAAACAATTTTGATTCTCTGCAACTTTCCCAAGTATTTCTTATCTTAGTTCAAACAGCCCCAAAACCTTACACAAATTAATTTAATTATTTTCAAGTAAGGTTTAATTCACTACAAACTTTTTTTTTTTTGGCTGTGCACCACGGCTTGCGGGATCTTAGTTCCCTGACCAGGGATCAAACAGAACCATGCGCCCTGCTGTGGAAGTGTGGAGTCTTAACCACTGGACCACTAGGGAAGTCCCCAAACTTTTATATTTTATTTATTATTTTTTTAACTTTTTTTTAAACATCTTTATTGGAGTATAATTGCTTTACAATAGTGTGTTAGTTTCTGCTTTATAACAAAGTGAATCAGCTATACATATACATATATCCCCATATCTCTTCCCTCTTGCATCTCCCACTCCCTCCCACCCTCCCTTTCCCACCCCTCTAAGGTGGTCACAAAGCACTGAGCTGATCTCTGTGTGCTATGGGGCTGCTTCCCACTAGCTATCTATTTTACGTTTGGTAGTGTATATATGTCCATGACACTGTCTCACTTTGTCCCAGCTTACCCTTCCCCCTCCCCGTATCCTCAAGTCCATTCTCTAGCCAAACTTTTAAATACATTTCCTAATACTACCTTTTTTGGCTCAGGAATATGAAATCCAATGAAGAGATACACAGGAATGATTATAATGCCTTATATGACTCCTTAAGAATACCTACTTTCCAAAGGATTACCCCTTCTTTAAAAGGGACCACTATTAAAGAAAACAGAATGCTAAAGTCTCTGAGCCTCAGATATTTCTGTATCATAGCACTGTAGCAAAGAGAAAGGAAACTTCCTGGGACTTCCCTGGTGCCCCAGTGGTTAAGACTCCACGCTTCCACTGCAGGGAATGCAGGGTGCGGGTTGAGGGGAAAGAAGAAAGAAAGAAAGGAAACTTCCTAGCTCTGTGGGGAGGGGGTCCTGCAAGGGATATGTAGAGTTTCCTTTCACTGTATCCTTAAATACTCAAATAGGTCATTAGTTGGTAAAAATTAATGCTACTATTAGCTATTTTTAAAAAACCTCTTTCCCCAGTCTTAACAATTATGAAGCAAAATACAGACTGCATGGAATACAGATTTGTTTCACCATTTTGGTCTTTACCCTATGGCATATGGTGAGAGAAACAAGATGGGAAAATGAGAGGTTATAGTTACTTTCACAGAAAATTGGCTTCAAAGTCAATTTTTTTTGACTTTTTTTTTTGACTTTGGGAAGCCCCAAAGTCAATTTTTAATAGTTCTAAATTTTGCTGTACAAATCAAGAATCTTTGGTGGTGTTAATCAGGATATGAGAAGATTTAAGCAGAAATTATGATTCAACACCAGAAGAGATCATCTAGACCAATCCCCAATTTTATTTTTAAAAAAAGATACAGGGCTTCCCTGGTGGCGCAGTGTTGAGAGTCTGGCTGCCGATGCAGGGGGCACAGGTTTGTGCCCCGGTCCGGGAAGATCCCACACGCCGCGGAGCGGCTGGGCCCATGAGCCATGGCCGCTGAGCCTGCGCATCCAGAGCCTGTGCTCCGCGATGGGAGAGGCCACAACAGTGAGAGGCCCACGAACCACAAAAAAAAAAAAAAAAAAAAAAAAGATACAAAGTATCCAACCCAAGTAAAACATGTAATTAGTAATTAGAGTAAGGACATGGTGTTCTACTATACATGTTCTACCATATCATGTCTTTTTAGTCTGAATCTAAAAAATACTAGAAATGTACAAGTTAGAATGCCTGAGAAACTATGTTGCCCAGGAAATCAAGCTGAACCTCCTTTTAAGATGAATGAACTGCAAAGAAAGAAGAGCTAGATAAGTAGTAGTTCTCAAAAATGAGGTCCTGGCACAGCAGCACCATTATCACAAGAAAACTTATTAGAAATGCAAATTCTCAGGCTCCAACCAGACCTACTGAATCAGAAACTCTGCAGTGTAGCCTAACAATGTGCATTTTAACAAGTCCCCCAGAAAATTATGATGTACACTAAATCCTGACTGCCTTTATGTTTGACAAATTAAGCATCAGAGACAGAAGACAATGCTGGAAAACTCACTACCAGCAAAACTGAAAGTGAAGGGAAGGTGAAGGGCAACATGATAGCACAAAATGAAGAAATCAAGAAAGGGGTGAGACACGTGCCACAACTACTGAAGCTTGCGCGCCTAGAGCCCGTGCTCTGCAACAAGAGAAGCCCGCGCACCTCAACGAAGAGCAGCCCCCACACACTGCAACTAGAGAAAGCCAGCGCACAGCAACGAAGACCCAACAGAGCCAAAAATTTTTAAATTAATTAATTAAAAAAAAAAAAAGAAAGGGTGAGACTTAGAAAGATAAGGTATGTTCCGCGTTTTCAAGACACACTGAAGGGAAGCAGTCTGTCATCACCATAGTAGTGCATTCTCCCTGCTGCACTATCTTACCAGGGTTGCAACAGAAATGTTAACTTATATGTCCAGCATAATACTTGAAGCTAGTATTTAAAAATTAACTGCTAGAGTATTTAAAATTACAAATTTTTAAAACTTAGGAAATATTAGTAACTCAGTTATCCTAGATGAGTTTGAAAGAAAATTATTATAATTAACTTCTGAAAATATCAAATTATAGAATCTGGTACTCTAATATTTTCTATTTCCCTCTTAATAATGTTGCCTTCTATTTTAAAGACAGACAAACTGATGGAAACATGTATCAATACCAATCTTTCCCTGAACTCAGTATAAGCAGAAGTGGTAACCTTATTTGAGGTTAAAGTCTGTACTCTTTTTAAAAAATTCAAGTCAACTAAAAGTATAGAAAATACACAGCACAAACCTATGACCCAGCTTTGCCCAATCTAAACATTGTTGTATCAACTCTGGATCTTTATGAAGTCCTCTTTGTTTTCCTCTCCAAAGTAATGATTACCCTGAATTTATTGTTTATCATTCTCTTGCATACTTTTATACTTTTCTATGTGTCCATAAACAACGTAGCTTTGTTATCACGTTTTTAAACTTTTATTTAAAAAGTATTACATGGCATGTATTCTTCTATACTTTGCTTTTCCCTCAACATAGTAAGATATTTTTCCATGAGGATCTAGTTTATAGTTTATTCCTTTTTACTGCTGTTCATTTTGCTAGTAGGTGTCTAAACCAATAATGTTTCCTTTCTTTAGGTGATGGACATTTGTTTCCTATTTTTCACTATTACAATGTTTTGGTAAATATTTATACACACATTCTTGAATTCACATGAGTTTTTCAAGCTAAACACTTCTTTGACTTAAATAACAAGTACCCCTCCCCCTTTTTAACCATGCACCGATGCCTTTTATTATGTATGGGTTTTTAAAAATTATTTCCTCAATCCATACACACAGGCAAAAATAAGTGTACTGTTCAACACACTGGAACTTGCAAACCTGATCATTGCCTAGAGAAGGGAAAATTATCCCTAGAACATGCTTAACCAGGAGGCCAATTCATCTGCCAACATCCAAGAGCACAGAAATGAACGTGATAGACACTATCTTCCATCTGAATCTTCATTCACCGCCATTTGACAACCCTTCTATACATATTGGAAACTAACCATTTCATGTGTAATTATGTTAATGAAAATAAGTTTCCATAAGGATTATAATGGTTATTCTACAACCTGTTTGTGTTCTTGCTGATATCAGCAGGGGCAACAGGCAGAATTCAGTTTTTCCAAGTCTTCATATCCTTTGATGGGACTTCCCTGGTGGTCCAGTGGCTAAGACTCCACACTCCCAATGCAGGGGTGGGTGGGGGGGGGGCCTGGGTTCTATTCCTGGCCAGGGAAATAGATCCCATGTGCCACGTAAGAGTTCACACACCACAACTAAAGATCCCACGTGCTGCAACTAAGATCCAGTGCAGCCAAATAAATAAATATTAAACAAAACAAAACAACAACAAAACTTGTATTTGTGTTTAAAATATACATACATATATATATATATATATATATATCCTTTGACGTTTTCTCATTATTCTGCTCTTAGGTAACTTTAAGCAAGTCATTCAACTTCTCCAGATCAGAACTTTCACATCTATAAAACAAGGAAGTTAAACTAAAATAGCATGGTTTGGTTATAGATTTAGGGGTCAAATAAGTTTGGGAAATGTTATAATCCACATACTTATAAGAATATTCAAGGTTCTAAAGAAGTCCTGCATGAAGAAAACACTATTGTTTGGACACAGAAGCAGGCTTTGCTTCCTTCCTTGGCCCATTCTTCCAATGCCCCGTTCCCTGCCCAAGATTTTATTCTCACAAAATGCCTAATGCCCTTGGGAAAGTCCGACATAAGTCTGAAAGAATCACGAACACTTTTTATCCCAAAGAAATATTATTGTTGTAGAATAAAAGAATTTTAAGCATGACATAGAGAAATCTACACAACATGGCTAATACTTTCCTAAAGTTATCTACACCTTGTCTCTCACATCTGGACTATAAATTACTTCAGTGTGGTTTTTTTTGTGTGTGGTAAAATACACAAACATAAAATTTACCATCTTACCCATTTTAAAGCATATAGTTCAGTGGTATTAAATACATTCATAATGTTCTGTTCAAAATGTTTTAAGAGAATGCTTATAGCAAGAAAAAGCTCATTATGAGTAGCTTTTCAGATATGGTTAATACAACATAAATGCCCTTTCTAAGGCGATTACATGATTCTATTAATTTCTGGAGACGGGTTTTTTCTGTTGTTTTTTTAAGTTACTTTTGCCAAGTTCCAGGAAATCCTTACAAGTGCTATTTGTGTGACAATATCCATAGCTTCGTAGTGATCAAATAGATAGCTGATGTGTCTCTGGCTTAAAACATTTTTTCTAGATAAAAAGGGGGAAAAGCACTTTTCTCACAAAGGACATATCTTTTAAAAGGGAAATGATATGCTACATAAAGATATTAGCAATATTTGTCATTTATATAATCCTATCTG